GGGTCCCCTTTCCGAACAATTACGGACGAACTTCACAGGGGTTGAACTAAAGTCCATCGGTGCACCCCAACAACAGTGTCCTTCTAAGACACTTCTTCTGTCCTGCAATCCGCTTCCGATCTTATCTCAGTGGCCACACAGTCTTCCCCGGCGACACAGTACGACGTTGCCAGCCCAAACTCCAAGAAGAGAGAGAGAGAGAGAGGGATCCGTTCGTTGTTTCTCTCCTCCAGTGCAACGCTTCCAGAATGTTCGAGAACGACAATTTCATAATTTGTCAAGTATAATACATAGTACGCAAAAAATACAAAACTACTGAATTACAAAGTCGAAATGCATACAAATAAATAATAAATCACACAAAATACTAACTACGCAAAACCATGCTAGGTAGCACAAGTTTACCATAAGAGGGCGGTATATCACAAAACAGCATGGTGCATATTTAAGCGATTTAAGTCAAACAATAGGCAACAGTGCCATGTATTATGGGTCTAGCATGCCTAAAGTAAGCCCGGGTTACAGATACATGTTAGTAACATTGGCCTATCAACTCTGAATTCGGAAGAGTCGTGAACTCTGCCGTGAGCTACAATATCCAGTCGTGTGTCGTAACTGACCTATGACGCGTGTGTTTTTCTTTCGTACTACTACTACGTCGTTCAGAACACCAAAGTGAAGCATCGGTGAGCCTACTATAATCATAACCAGAACACTGATTGAACTCTCCCTGTAAAATCCCACGATGCTATTGTAATGAGTTATTACATTTATTTGTATGATTGTTGTTTTGGATCTCTTGTATAATATTCAAGCTGATCAACTGTGACCATAGTCATTGAGCCATCGTTGTATTGTTATCACTTTATACATTTATTAATATTCCTGTAGTGTGTTACCATGGCTGTAGGCTTGGGCGATTAATAAGGTTTAGCATTTATTGTAATTATATCACACTGTTAAGTGCTGACCGTTTGGACCGTTTTATGTGAATTACATAGGATTTTGCTCCTACTCATATTTCGCCGCATTGTCATTTGTTGTTACTCGCAAAGTACGGGTCAACACAATTTGTACTGATTTAATTCATGCTCTATTTGTTGAGTGTGAGCGCAACCCCTACGTGGTTTGACATCCTGCATAGTCCAACATTGCTATTCCTTACCATTGACTATACCCGATTGTTAGTGCGCCCTCTATTATAATTGAGGAATTATTGTTATTCTCTGCTAGTGTAAACTAGGGCAGTGCATTCGTTATTGTGTAAAAGGTAATACATTTGTTGAAGCGATTAATATTACTTTTATTACAAATTGTTTTATCTTGAAGCACATAAAACAAACACACATTTAATGTTTCAAAGCAAAACACTCGACCTTGCATGTTATATAAGTGTTTATGTACACGACATGAGCACAATTTCATCAGAGTAACTGAAAATCTTTTATTACAAATAGTTTTATCATGAAGCACTTTCTAAATTAAACACACATGTAATGTTACAAGGTAAAACAATCGACTATGCATGCTTTATAAGTGTTTATGTATATGACATGTACACAATTTCATCAGAGTAACTAAACACTTTTCTTACAATTTGTTTTATCATGAAGCACTTCCTAAAACAAACACACATGCAATGTTTCAAGGTAAAACACTGC